CTTCGCGGGTTTCACCTGTCGCGGGTTATTTTTAGAATGTAACTCCTGCGACAAACCAATCAGCACTGTATGTTTTTTTTCAGTCTTAAACGAAGGATTACATGCTGGAGTAAATGGTGCCATTCAGTTAAAGTGTGAGAAAGACGAGATATGTGAGTTGAGTTTTTTTTATTTACGGCTGTAAGTAGGCTCTGTGCCCAAACTTTATTTACTTCTGAGAAGTTGAGACTCGTCCAGGAAGTATATTTCACACATAAAATCCACAGTTGCAGGCTTTGCGGCTGAAAAATGAAGCTAACATAGAATTGCCAAAAAGCGGTTTCTGGAATTGGTTTCCAAAAGCAAACCGATCCCCACCGATTCTCATCTTAGAATATCCCGACTACAGCTGTAACTAAAACAGTTTACAATCTGGTACAAAAATGTTCTATCTTTTATAACAAATTTACCCGTCCATAAACATTTGATTACTTTATTTTAAATAACTTGTCACTTTACATTTTGTTAAAATTAAAGTTGGTATTGCGAGTGAATTGTCAGCTTAATTAGGAACTCTCCACTGTGTTTGTGGCGTTGGTGCCTTTTTGAAGCATTTTAACATAATTGAAGATAGAAATATTAGGGGTGCAACGATACACAAAATTCAGGGTTCGGTTCGGTTCGATACTTTGGTGTCACGGTTAGATATTTTTTCGAAAAAATGTTCATGCTTTTTTAATTTATTTATTAAAATGATAAATATATATTTTAACTCAAACATAACAGTTTTTTTTTTAAATGTAATGTTGCTGAAACAACAAAAGGATAAAATAATAAATCTATCTGATTGAGAAATCACTCATCTTTGGAAAAGAGAGTTTATTACAGAGAAATGGCTCTTTCCAAAATAAAAGCTATACTATACGCTTCTTTTGGGCTATATTCTCAGCAGCATATTAAACATCTCAGGTCCCCATAAGGAGAATCATGTGCTAACGGCTGTCTAAATGACTCTGGTGAAGTTTGTAGCATGCATGCTTGTTGTTTTTGTCTGCTTCCACTTGTCTTTGCACTAGGATGATGTCGGCGTAAATGTGCAGTCATATTCGTTGTGTTCCCACTAGTGCTGTCAGCGTTAATCTGAAATGACGTTAACACCACAACACGGCAAATCTCCGTTAACGAGCTACCGCGGAGCGCCCCGTGCGTGGGGCGTCAACACGTTAACAAGCAAACTGCGCTAACACACTAGTTCCCACCCATGTAATTGAGCATTGCGTGGCACATCCGACATACTGTTTTACTTTTGTCCATGACGCGCTTACCTTCAGGGTCATACGTCACATGAAGACTAAAATAGTTCCAAAGACTAGATCTGAATGAGGGTGGGGGAGATTCAATTTGCCATGTTGCAACAAGCTTAGCTTCTGTCTTGCTAGCTTGCGCTGCGCTCGACAGTGCAGCTTAGGTGGAGTAGTCGAACGCAGATCCACTGAGCTGTCAACACAGACAGCACCGTCAGAAGAAAAGTTGATAAAATAAATTAAAAATTTTGTATTGTTTGATACATATGCGTACCGAACCGAAAGCACTGTATCAAACGGTTCAATATCGATATCGTTGCACCCCTAAGAAATATAGATTACTGTGCAGAGAAGTTTACTAACAGCACTTTCAAAGTCTGTACTTCAGTTTTAGTGAGTTAGATTGTGCTTGTTACTTAGCACTGATTATCCGGTTTATGTATTTGTTATGTGCAACTATTCAATTTATGGATCCCGTTTGCTTAAGCAAACAGCATTGGTGGCGGTTCTTGCACGTTAACTGATAACTTGGTACTCGTGTTCCAGATGCCCAGTTCCATCTTGTAAAATCAAACTCGGCGACAACCACAATGGCGAAGTTGTAGTTTCAAAACAGGATTTTACAAATCGATGGGTGACATCACAGTGGCTACAGTCTGTACTATATAGTATTTGGTAACATCCCAGTAAGTATAGTTTACTTTGCTCTTAGTTGAGACAGTTTAGAGGGGGAACTGCTTTGAAGAAAATGTGCAGAGATTTCGATGATAGTTGCAGACTATTATTTACCCGATGGTGGATGAGGAATGATAAATTTAAATGCCTCAGTCTCTTAAATAATGAAATAAAATAACTGAAACACCTTTTAAAATGCTGAAATTTCTGTATTTCTGATAGGATAATCCTGAAAGAAAGTCTGACTTTTACAGTGTAGTAAATAGATAAACCAAAACTGAAACACTGTGTGCAGAGTCACAGTGAGTAAACGCATCAAAATAAAGCTCAACTATTAAAAAGATGTTTTTTTTTTTTAATGAAATAACTACGCCACCACATTGAAGTCCTTTCATATTTCTTAGAACAAGGGGGCATTTAAAGCTTCAAAGAAGAAAAACACATGATTTTCTTCCAAGTTACACATCACCCATGTGACTTTCAGGCAGGATCCTCCTTCATGCAAATCCACAGTTAGACTTGAACAATAAGAGATTTGTTATATGCAAGAAATTGGCTCTTAATTCTACTTAGGAAGAATTTCTGTTTCATTTTATTATCACTTGGAGCTCAGATGCAATCACAGTGCTTCTATAAATATAAATGTATATTAGAAGGTTTGAAAACGGTGCATGAAATATAAAGCATTTTAATGGTCAAACGTGTCATATTTGCATAAGAAAAACTATTGATGTTAAAAGGATGTTACCGGAATGTGTTGAATGGGTGTGATTATGTTGACTTTTCCTCATTGCTGGGAAGGTTTCACCTGAAAGTATTTTTAGATCACCTCTGGCACAAAATCTACTCTTTCCGGTTTCGTCACTTACGGTCAGAAGACTGTTTTTATCACTTGTAGTTGAATGATCAAGTCGCAACCTTTGTGGCATGAGAAGCCAAAAGAAAGAGGAACTTTTGTGGTTGTCTAACTGGTATTTAAACAAGCAAGAAAATCTTGCTGCATTAAGGTGCAGAAATATTTAAGGATTTTTTTTGTTATTCACTAAGATGTGCGTGCTTTAAAGGGACACTTCCCACAAATTGTAAAACATCGTGGTATTTCTTCTGCCCTGAGTGTTAATAATAATCTCCACAGACGGTAAAAGGAATTTTGTTTTTAATTACGGTTTAGTCTACCTTTTAAAGAAATCATACCTGTTTTAAAATCTGACATTTAAAAAAATATATTTTTAAGCAAAACCAAATAAATGTTAGTTTTACAATTTTTGTGTCTTACAAAAATGTAAATGATTCTTTTGAATTTTAGGGTATCATTCTGGGTTTGAGAAAATCAAACTTAACATTTATCATTGTTTTTTTGTTTTTTTTTAAATCTTCTCATAACCCTTTTATATGGGAATCTAACTAGATGATAACTTGAAGGAGGATTTTTTTATTTTAAGTTCTTTGAATTCCCTGAAAACGTTATTCCCACTCAGGGAAAGGATAAATGATTTGTGACTCCTTAACTTATGTGATATTATTTGTTTACTTAACCAGGAGTTATAGATCAGCATAATTACTCATTTCAGGCAGCGTGTTGGTGCAGCCCAGTTAGCCCTGTCGCCTCATGGCAGGTAGGAGTCTGTGTGGAGTTTGTATGTTCTGCCTTTATGGGTTCTCACAGGTTTTCTGGCTTCCTCCTTCAGTGCAGAGAGATGCATATTAGGTTATTTGGTGCTTGGAGCTAGAAAAATGGTGGTAAAGAATAAGGGGTATAGCACTGTATGGATGTATGGTTAAGTGCTCTGAGTGGTCAGTAAGACTAGAAGACTGCTGTATAAATGCTACTCCATTTCCATTTTGGGTTGTTTTTCTGGACAGCTGATGTTTAGATTCCCGATATTCTCACTGGTTTTGGTCTCTTAATGGCCTCTGAGGGGGAAAAAGTTGATCCTGTAGCTGTCTAGTGGCTCACTGTGTTCAGCAGGTAGTCACTAAGTGTGTGAGTCTGCCATTTAGTGATGAACAGGTAGTTTATACACAGATGGCTCCTTTGGTTTTTGAACAATGATACAGTTTTTGAAGTTTTTGCCTCCGTACACCACCACAGCTGATTTTAAGAAACAGTCAAGATGAGATTCAAGCGCAGGCTTTCAGCTTTACTTCAAGGGTTGTTTTTATTGTTTAGAAATTAAAGTATTTTTTTTCCTCACAACATCTTCTCAAGTCAGTCGAGTTGTGGAGGTGGCCAGAGTCAAGAGATGTTTTGTGAATGTAAATACAAAGGGCTTACAAAAAAGATGCGCACCACTGATTGCATTCAAGAACAGGAATCCCAGATTAGGCTTTACCAGAAATCATCAGAAGGAGCCTGCCCTGTTCTGGGAAAGACATCCTTTGGACAGATGAGGCCCAGATAAACTTATAGTAGAAAGATGAGAAGAGTAAAGTACGAAAGGAAAAGGTATTCATACTTTGCCATAGTCATGTTTCCAGTGACTTCCAGTAGAACCAGGCCACTTACCAGGATGAATGAGGTGTATTGGACTAAATTCTGTGCTCAAAAAAGCAAAGAAATTAGATATTCTTCCATGGCCCCATCAGTCACCTGATCTCAGCCCAATACAGCATCCTTCAGTCTTTAGGATAACCCTGCAGAGTGTGTGTGTGTGTGTGTGTGTGTGTGTGTGTGTGTGTGTAAATACCAGTCCATCAGCACTATAAATGATTTCATAATGTCACTAAAATGTAAAACATGAAATTCCTTATGTTTTGTTTTTTTTCTTTTCTTTTTTTAAAATTACTGACAGTTGGGAGATTTTTTTTTTTTTTTCCACCATAAACACTGTTTCCTTTTCTTATTTGTCAGTCTCATGATTGCACTACAACTGCTTTCTTTCCTTGTGCCCCAGGCCAGGTGCCTGCATGTGGCTACAGGAAATGTAACTCCCGTGAATACGTTATCATTTCCTAGTATCAGCTCCCGCCCACATAGACTTACACTCACATTCACTGTTGGGATTCCTTATTTGTATTTTTTTTTCTCTCCTTTTACCGTAGGCTCGCATCAAGACTGCACAGAGGCGGGTGGTGATGGCCTCCCTCTATCTGGGAACCGGTCAGCTGGAGCAGGAGCTGGTGAGAAAAGTGGCATTTACGCAAGCATGTGCGTGTGTGTCTCTATGTTTTCACAACACTAGAGAATTTAGTTCTGGGCAGGTGAGAACAATACCATTACTGGCCAGAGATGCCAGAAAGTATGAGTCAGACTTCTCTTCCAGGACGCCCACTGCGTGGTTTGTTCAGAATGAAAATGTACTCCAGACCAACTACAAGGAATGACCCCAAAATGCAAGGGTTTATGGGTATAAGGAGACCAGCATTGGCATGTGACAGCCTGCTGTGCTTCATGCTTGAAAAGCCTAGCATAACAACATTAACCCAAAGCAAACCACAGTCTGGAATGATGCTCGTATTTGGCGTTTTTTCATGTTTTTTCAATCTGGTACAAGCAGCAGTGGAGAGGGTGAAATACAGCAAAAAGGCACAGACAAGCCAGCATGCTTAATTACAGTTAAAAGCATTGGGATCAGCTGTGAGTGCTGCCAAACTCTGTAACCTCACAGGATGATGGATTACTAGAAATGTGAGTCAATACGATTTTATTTTCAAGCCTGGGTTTGCTTGAAATTGGACTCGATGAACTGAAGTGCATGCAGTGCAAAAATGTGAGTCTGTTCTTTGGTTTAGACAAAGGAATGCAAATATCAGGTGCAGTTTCAACGTAAAGCCTAGATACACCAACGCAGCCCTGATCCCAGGCTCGGCACAGACTAGATGGTATTCGGTCACGCCTGGAGAGCATATTTACTTAAGTTGTGGTGCAGCCAGTGGGAACAATCTGATATTTGAGGGCAAGGCATGTTTATCTTGAATGTGCTATATGCAAAAGTTATGCAGCGTGCTTATAGTTGTAGATTTTAGGCTAGAGTATTTTGCTTCATGCATTTGCACTTGCAGATAAGCTTTCCCGTTATTCTTTTTGTTTATAGGAGGCATTAAAGAGTCAAGCATTGGACAAGAGGATGGCAAACTAGTAAACAGATATAAATAATACAGGGTCCCCTGTCATAGGGGAAAAAACGGGGCACAACTTAGGCAGACGACAACCACACACACACACAAGCAAAGAACATAGTGCCACACAGGCAGGTTTGAATCCAGAACCCTCTTACAGTCAATGCTAACAGCCAGACCAGTGCTGGTCTTCAGTATGATCCCCGCTCCACCAAACGTTACATTGTGCACAAAGCAGTCAGACAAGTACCGTTGGCCAAGCTGCCAGAACTCCCACATGGGGAAGCATGATTCATCACTACAGAGAACTTGTTTCCCAGTGGTTTGGTTGTGCTCAAGTAGCTTTAACCTACTAGCAAAATTAGCCCAGTATCCCCCAGATCCCATAGAATATGAATTAGTACAGTTTTAATGCAGAAAATCACATCTAGTGGTTTGGAAACCGACAGCAAACAAATCGATAAAGACGAATCTTGGTTATTTGTCCGAATATAGAGCTACGGTAGCCTACAGATAGATTACTCCATCAAAAATCAATGCGTGCCCCACCTGACACCCATCAGAATCTGCAGATTTATGTAATATGCAGTAATTTTATTATGTTTAATGAAGCAATGCGAGTTATAGGCCCCTCAAAGGACAGCAAATCCAGGTGTCGCAACCTAAAGCTAGAAGTTTCTGTTCAACACAGGTTTTTACGTTTTTTGCAGCCAACTTTGAGCATCAGTTTCATGGCATATATCAAAGTTTAAACAGCAGAAATAGAGCAATTTAATGTCTATGAAGTAGAGTAACAGAAGCAATCTTTAGTATCCTGAATATTTTATCTGTTTTCACAAGAGAAAACTTGAAAAAGTGCATTTTGGGTCACTGAATAACACTATGAGGGATAGCTGGTTGGTCAACACAACTGTTAACATATAAAAACTCTCCTTTTTTATTTTATTTCCTGGCCATGGTTTCCTCTGTGACAGAAGTCGATGTTAAAAATGCACATTTTGGATTAAGCTTAAGGAACCTTTAGCTCTTAAAAGTCTTCAAATCATAAAGATAAAATTTTTCCAGGTGTCATCAAATGCAGTAAAGCTTCTAGGTTTTTAATTTCCTCATGAGACCCCCCCCCCCCCCAATCTCTCTGCTGCCCCTCCTTTATCTGTCAGGTTGAATTGTTTCCTGTGCGAAACATGCACAAAACTTAAGGTTAACTTAAAAAACATAAAAGGAGCAACATCTCCTCCATGGTGTGTGTCTGCAGGCCTGGGCTAAGTGTGCCTGCTTAAGATTGACCGCAATAGAGGACTCTTTGTTTTTGTTTTTAAATCTACATTTAATAGTATTAGGCGTTTGAGGCAGTCTTGCAGAGAATGATAACAAAATGCTGGTTCTCAGCTTCACAGAAATAAACAGTTTTTTCCTTAGAGCTCCCACTCATTGTCAGATTTACGCCTCAAGGAACTTCCAGAGCTGGAAGTGTTGGTGGTCCCTAAAGAGCTCTCTACTGGAAAGGCGAAATGTTTTACTGGCATGTAAACAGACACTGCGGGGTGACGCATTGTGAATGTATTTGGGCACCAGATGCACAATTTAGCAGAAGTAAAACAGCGCTTGTTTCATATCAGTAGGGATCCAAATACCAAGCAGGCCACAAAAAAGACTTCGCTCGCCACCAGTGGCATCCTCTGTCGAGCAGCCGTTTCCTCTTTGTGTGCCGGGGTGAGTCATTTTTTCCCACGCTCAGTAAGCGGACAATAAAACGGAGCTGATGTTTGATAAATACTGAGAATTAATCAATTGTCATTCACCCGTTTCCTTGTACTGTGTCTCCATCTTGGAACTTTCACTGGAAATGACATTAAAAAAGGATGAGAACACAGGGAGGAGAAAAAAATAAGAGCTTTAAATGCCCTTCAAGATGACTAGAAAACTATTCCAGAAGAACACTTAAAGAAATTAAAGGAAAGCTTAACTAATAAAGTTCACATTGTTTTGAAGAATAAAGGTGGTCATACCAAATATTGTACAAACCTTTATTTATTTATTTTTGGCTTATATGCTTCCATGTATGTTTGGACGTTTCATTTTCATTTTGCACATTTCCCGTTATCCTAGAAAAAAAATAGAGAAATAAACTTTAATCTTTACTAATGATTAAACTGTTTTCTGTGCAGTTTTCTTACACTCACTCTAACCTATCATGCCAGATGTCCGCCCCTCTCAGAGCCTGGTTGTGCTGGAGGTTACTTCCTGTTAACAGGGAGTTTTTCCTTCCCACTCTCACTAAGTGCTTGCTCATAGTGGTTTTTGTTGTTGTTGTTTTTTTTTCTTTTTTGCACAGCAAAGGTGTTTAGAATCACCTTCCAATGTCTTCACTCTGTAAGTAATCTGTCGTTATTGTGGCTGTATTTCCCTTTCTTTGTGGTAGCTGGTTTTTCCCATATCAAATACTCTCAGCATGAGAGAGATGATGAGAGGTTACACTGTTTTGAGCCACATTAAAGCTTCCCTCATTTCTTAACATTGTTAAATAAAAGTTAAACTTTCGATTAGTGCCTGTCCTGTAGTGTTAACTTGAACCAGGGAAAAAATAATGTTGTAAATGGCACATAATGAATACCTTTTTCTTTTTCTTTTTTTCTGTGACTTTACAGTAGGTTAAAATATTTTCTGATGTTTCGAGAACTGCATAAAATGGCTGTTTTATATATTTAACCAGAAAATTTCCTTAACCTCCTGAGACCCAAACGCTTTCATGGCATGCATTTTTAATTTCTCTTCGCTATTTGGGCTGATTGGGACCTGATAAATGTAAAAACAAAGGATTATCTTTTTACCTTTATGTAGTTTCTGAGAAGAGGATATCAGGCCCTTGTAGAGCAAAATTTTGTATTGTGGTCAAGACAACCCAAAATGTGATGTCCACATATGTAGATGCCAGGTCCTAAGAGGTTAAATTTAAATCTTTTTCATGGGAGATCTGGGTAAGAAGGCACACCTTAAACATCTTATTTCATCTGTCAAACAGCTGCAAATCCAAAGATAATCCATTTACAATCAAAATGTGATTCAGTTTTATTTATATTGTACGGTAAAGACACTACAATAATACAGAGTAAACCCCAAGAATCAGACAGCCCCCTATGAGCAAGCACTTGGCAACAGTGGGAAGGAAAAACTTCCTTTTAACAGGAAGAAGTCTGCAGCAGGACCAGGCTCGGGGAGGAACAACCATCTGCTGTGATGGTTGGGGGTGAGGGGAGGGAAACGGGACAAAAGACACACTGTGGTGAACCTGTTTATTATCATCACATCTTCTCAGGGAGGACTTTCCCACTATTCCCGTAATTTGTGTGAATACAGCGGCAGATGGGAAGCTTGCAAAATTCTGTAGGTGTTGAGTTAGATGGAAATGGGCTTATCGCTCTTAATCCCACACTTTAAGGGTAGTAGCTCGAGGCTTCGTCAGCGAATTACTGAAACGCACATTACTCAAGTCTCTGACTGAAGTGTCTGCCACAATAACCAAGTCACCCTGGAGAACAATTTTCTGTGCCTTACAGCATCTGTTCTAAAAGTGTGGGTCACAGCACAACGCTTCTGTTGTAGTCAAAACTTTCCTGACACAGACAAATGTAGCAAGTGTGGAGAAATGCACACTCACTAAAGATTAGAAACCGTAAACCACCACTAAAAATAACAGTAATCAGAATCAACTACCGCATGCAACTGACACATGGCAGTCCCTAGGGAAGTCTGGGTTTTTCTGTGCAGCCCTCGATCACATGTTAAACTCTTTCTTAAAGGAATTACATGCTAAGTTGATGCAGAATTCTTTTAATTGGGGTTTGTGTGTGTGTGTGTGTGTGTGTGTGTGTTTGTTTTTGTTTTTTTTAAAGGTGGACTGTATGGAGGAAGCCCTCCAATGTTCCCAGGACAACAGCCAGTCTCCAGACCTGAAAGTCTCCGTATTGCTTGACTACACACGCGGATCACGAGGTTGTTAGCGGTTTCCTGCACTTGGTTAGCACAGAACTCCCCGCTCATCATCCTGATTGTATTTGTGTGACTTGTGTTTCACGTGCAGGAAAGATTAACTCAAGGACCATGCTGCTACCTCTGCTGCAGCGCTTCACATCTCAGATGAGGGTATCTCTGTACCACACTCCAGATTTGAGGGGGCTGCTGCGCTTGCTAGTCCCCCAGCGCTTCAACGAGACCATCGGAGTCCAGCACATCAAAGTCTACCTGTTTGATGACAGCATCATCATCAGTGGGTATGTTGGTGCCAGTATGACCTTTTTCCACACTCCCTGTGTGTTTGTTTGAATTCAGAGTGAAGTTTAAAATAAAGTTGTCCCACCTCCAGGCAACTGTCTGTTTTCACAAGCTGCAGGTGCTTACTGGATTAGCTTAAAAATGTTTTCAGTGCTTGTTTTGACGTGCAGTATTCGGGGAAAACGGAGCTCAGTGGGAGCTGCTCCACAGCCAGTGGGCACAGTGCTGCTGTGGTTTCCAGTCCATTTCTCTTCAGAACATAAAATGGCATGCTGACCTTATTCTGCCAAATTGGTGAAAATATTACAGTTACTTTGATGATACCCTCAAAACGGTAATGCATTAGTGTGCAGGAGGAGCAGGGAGAGCAAGGGGTCCTGATGCCCTTTGTTCTAAAAAATCCAATGTTGTCCTCCTTTGTGCATCATTGTAAACACAGCCGTATAATGTTAACTAATGTATTAATATGCAGGGTTGCAATACTTTGGAATTTTTTTACTATTATTTTCCTTTCCTTTAGTTTAGTTTTTCTTAGTAAGTAAAAACTAGATTAAAAAACTAAAGTAGGGGTTTTAATACGCATTTGGTGAGGTCAATAATAATATCAGAATCAGTGCTAGAGAACATACTTGCTGGGAGTTGACTCACAGTCATGACCTCCCAGTGTCTGCGCCAAAGCCTCCTCACACTAAATGTGTAACTACGGGCATATGTTAAAAGCAGACAATTTAATAAAAAAACATGTTTTTGTTTCAACTGAGTCATTTTTTTTAACCCCGGTTTAATTTTTAGTTTCCTTTTAGTTACCAACAGCAACTGTGACTGTTTGCCAATTATGACTGGAAAGCAAGACGTGTTGGTTTGGCGCACTGCCTGTCAGTGCCTTACTACCTTCACTTAAGTCATTCCAGGAAAATTAAGTCAGTTACATACTTTAGACAGATAGAATAACAATAACTGAACTTTGTTTTTGTTTGTTAAGACATTTCACACCGATCCTGTTAGTCTTTCAAGGATAAACAAGGCCCTTGCTCAACAGAGCGGAACCAGTTTTGTCTAAACATAACCACAGCAAAGAACAAATTTTAAATTGTATATTTAAGCACTTGGTTACTAGCAGCCTGTTTGCAAAAAAACTCAAAAAACCCATAATTGCTCCAATATTTTTTTTTTTAAGCTGAATCAAGGAAAAAGCCAAAGATGAACAGAGGGTGACAGGTACTGACTTTTAAGCTCGTTACAATGGTACAAACTGAATTGTTGCCTTATATATTATACCTCCATGTATATTTTACTAAATCACTCTGCTGTTTTCCTATTAAAATATAAAGAAATGGGTGGTGGCCTAAAGCCTTTGCACAGTGCTGTATGTACAGTGCACTCATTTTTTGTTGTTGTTAAGTACAAAAATGAATCGTGTGTGTGGGTTAACACAGATGTCTTAGCTTTATAATCTGCTGCACCAGTTTAACGTTGGCTAAACAAGACAAGTAGCTGCATATGACAGGGCTCCTTTATAGCTACGTTTTGTTACCAAGGCTCATCTTTTGTCTGGGATGCACTCTGTCAGGATAAGTTTGTAATGTAGTCATGTTTCAGTACATGCAGATGCAACTTACGGCTGTGAAATGGAGAATCAACATCGCTGGGACTTTGGAAACATAACATTAAAACAAATAAAGGATACGCAAAGTGCCGTTCTTTACTTCCACCATGTAAACCGACTAAAACATATTTACAGCTGCGACTGTTGCGTTTTGTTACCACGCAGGTGAATCTTGATGCAGGTCTTTTTTTTTTTTTTTTTTTTTTTTTTTTTTTTTTTTTAAATAATTTAAGTCGTTATAACCTGTTGATTTCAGACGCATTTCGAGGTGTTTGGCATTTATTTCTGATAGAAGTTTCTCACTTCTTTAAAACAAGAATCCTTGCCCCTTTGAAGATATTTCATGATGATGACCTTTGAAGATATTTCCACTTAAATCCTGAGGAATGTTTCCAAGTATTAGTCTCTGACGAGTCTTGACCCCGAGGGCCTGTCTCTTTCTAGGCACCTCATATTGATGGGATATAAGACGTTTTGGCAGTTTCATATATTTGAACCTGCCCTTCTCCTATCTCCTGTCTGTCGTGTGTGATCTTGTTCAGAGTCCCTAAAGTTTTACTGGAAATAGGAAGATGTGTTTCCCATTTCACAATAACTATGCAGAAAATTTCCAATAAATTTATGGAGGACGTTGGCACTGCGCCAGTGTTGGTGCATTAAAGAAGTCGTGACATGCTTTGTGTTCATTCTAACACGCGGTCTGTTCATTTCCTCCTTGGCAGCAAAGCATGTTCCACAAGATGCTCCTGCAGGTTAAGTTGGGCCCACGAAAAACTTTTACTGAAGATTAACGACATGTTGGGCTGTCACAGTTAATCCTGTGTTAATAACTCATAAAGCCGCACCGGTAATGTTGCATCCTTTAATCAGAACCGGGAGATGTTGTGAATAAGCAGCTGTGTGACTCAGCTCAACTTACAAACTGTTGGCTAAAGGCATGGGTGGAGAGGGCTAAAATGGCTTTGTGATTGGCTGCTCCAAAGCCTGGTACAGAATAATCGAGGATTATTTTGAATTGGGTATCATATGAAATGAATTGGATCCCCCGTTAAGGCTGTGTCTGCCACCTCTTTTTAAAAAAGTTAAAGCTAAGAAGAATACGCAGCTTTAGAGGCTTTTGTCTCAGTTTCCTTTCGTGAGTACATGATAATTGATATGTTGATTTCACTTGAATGGCACCACCCTTCCTCTTGAATAAACACAGTTTCAGAAAAATATTCATATGACGACATTTCAATAAGATCCCCCACCCCTGCACTAGCTTCCTTATTCCTCCTCCTCTACTCTTACTTTTCCCGGATCTTGTGTTTCAGGGCCAACCTGAGCGACTCGTACTTCACCAACAGACAGGACCGGTACGTGCTGCTGGAGAACTGCAGGGAGGTTGCCGACTTCTTCTCCGACCTGGTGGAGGCCGTGGGAGACGTCTCCCTGCAGCTCCAGCCCGACGACTCGGTGACCATGCTCGAGGACATGGTGCACCCGTACAAAGGTAGAAACCGAACACTCCTGTATCCCTGGCCTGTGCACAGAGACAGATGTTTACCCTCAGCATGTTTTGACAGCATGTGACACTCCATGCTCACTTGCAGCCTGTTTTCAACTCCAGGAGTTTGCTAATGGAGCTTGAAAGCTTAGACAAGCCAGATGCAGGCCAGGGAGGAGAGCTCTGTGAGAGTACAGTGAGGAAGATGTAGAGCGAGCTCTTGCGGTTGGCTAGCCATGGAGCCGGATGTGAAACTGTCAGGGTTTTGTCCACACGCACACGCACACATATTTGTACAGTGTGTCCGTAACTGGAGTGCAGGCTGCCAGGATGTTCGTTTGAGGGATGAATGACATCATGTCTGCAGGACTGGACCGCCATGGAAACGAACACCAGGAATAGAGTTGTGATGTCACAGTGTTGCTGGAAGAAGATATGAAATGGGAACTGATACACACACATAATTAATTCACAAACATGCACGTGCGCGCGCACACACACACAGACACTGGAGAAATTCTAGTGAAAGACATTTGTGAAGATGACTGATGAGATTTGTTATTGATCGTAAGAATGGCGTTAAAAGAAAAAGTGCGTTTGTCTGCAGGCAGAAGGTGATAACTGATGATTTAAAGACTGTTTAAAGGCTCACGTCATGCAGGTTGCTCACCTGTAGGGTCATCTGTCCTAACACAAGGATGAGCAACATGCATTTGGTGTTATCAGAGGAATGGCACAAACAGACTGCAGGAGCTTTCCAGCTAATGTGTTCACACGAGTGTGGTTGTTGATATAAGGAACTCCAAAAAGGGGGCCTATTACATTAATTTCCTGCTCCATAATTGTATCCTTGTACTAGAGTAACTTTGCATGATTCACAGTTCAAAATACTCACACTGAGTGCTGCCCCTCAGTTCATCCTCTATCTGAAACAAGCTCTCTTCTGATTGGCTGCCCATAAATGGTTTTAAATAGCAGGTTCTTCTTCAGTGACAGCTGTGTGCCTGTGACTTTTAGCAACTTTTTCTGCGAGGTGCAGCCATACATCCATCCTTTTTCTATCTGCCTCAGGGGAGTAGCAGCCTAAGCAAAGACCTCGAGACCTCCTCCAGCTCATCCAGGGGAACTCAGAGGAGTTCCCAGGCCAGCCGACAGGCATAACCTCTCCAATATGTCCCAGGTCTACCCTGGGGCCTTCCGGGGACATGCTTAGGACACCTTGTCCAAGAGGCATCTCAGTCAGATCCTCAAGCCTCCTTAAATGGCTCCTTTACTCTGAGTACCTCCCAAATATATACATAAATAAATAAATAAATGTATAAACTAAATTAAATATGCAAATTCTCTGATATAAACAATCTCCCTGTAAAATAATAAAAATGATCATACAAATAGTACAATTAAAAAAAAATAGTATAAAACCGTAAGAACAATGTGAACATGGTCAAAATGGATCATTAAAAAAGCTCAGGTTTTGCAGTGTTATGGTTGCAGTGCAAGCTTTTAGAGAGGAAGTGCAAAGCTTCAATGTTTGGACACGTTGTGTCATTTTGCTCTGTGAACTGGCCACGATCTCAGTCCTCCCCTGATGTCCTAAAATGGAATGCAGCCCTCAAAATTAAAAAAGTGTCAGCGTTAAGCTAACGACTCTGTAGGCAAGAGACTGAAATGAGTGCTGTGATTTAACTCAGTTTTAATGAAATCCATTTCAGTGTCTCATATCAGAGAGCTGGAAAGATGTAGGCGAGTTTAAATGTTCTTTTAGGTGGATGTCGGTTTGGAGCTCCATGCCTGTGCTGTAAATTTAATGCAGGAAACCTAAATGGTATAAAAGATGGACTTTCGAGTGCGAAAAGTGAAGTGACTTAAATTTGAATTTTTTTTTTAAATGATCACTGGGTGGCGATCATTTTGGTTGCAGAAAGGTTTTACAGGAAAACAACGCTCGGCCCCAATCTTGGCAAACAGAGATCGTCACAAACCGATGGGTGATGTCTCCAATGTTTTGTGCCGTTCATGACTGTGAATCCATTTTAAAAGGTTGGGATTGCTGATAATGTGGCGTAGCTGGAAGCTCTGCCCACTCGATTTTGAATACTTAGCATGAATATAGCCATCATTTTTAACTCCTTCCGCACTGTTTATTTAAACCAGGGGCCAGAATTGGCCTGGCAAAAACAACAGATGTGTTTTTTAGATTGTGTCCACTAGGGTTGTTCAATATAACGATATATATCGTTATATTGTACTTGTTATATCGTTATATACTATATATTAGAACAGGCTTTTCCCCGCAGCACGCCGTGTAATAATTACTCACAAAGAAAACTGTGGCCTTTACAACTTATGTCTAAAAGTGTATCGTTTCATGCATCGGTTAAAACACTCGACTCCAGCTACCCGTCATGTAGCTGGAGTCACTTCCCGCAAGATGAGCTGCCCGAGATTCACAGAATTGACAGAAAATGTTAAATTTTTGTGATTTATATCGTTATCGGACGATAGAATTCTTATATCGGGATATGAGATTTTGGTCATATCACACAGCCCTAGTGTCCACAGTAAAATATATAAATAAATAAAATAGCAGCTTTTCTCTGAGTTAACAAAAAGTTTCTAAATTTATAATTCAGTCTGGGCAATGAGCTGACAGAACCTTTTCTCTAATTTTAAATATTTATTATTTACAATTTAAGCCTAAAGAGTCGTGCTGACAGATTTCTTTCATTAATTACAGCAGCACTTCTTTATCGTGCAGAAAAACTGAGATGCACTCCTGAAATTTAAGGAGCTTAGAAAGAAAGTGACTGGACATTTCACCTATCCTTTGAGAAGCTTCTTCAGTTCTAAAACCAAATGCGGGAGAATCCCAGGTATTTAATCCCTAGTGGGAGTTGTCCCTTAAGGGAGTTTTTATGACCCTCTATTAATCATGTGCCTCACGACATGAGCCAAGGTGTGACAAAAAGCGTGGGCTGTTATTAGCAGAGGTTTCAGCTGAAACCATTGTGAGGCCTTGCTTCACCCTATAAAGTGACCTATTGAGATCACCTGACGTGAGTGGGGGTTGAGGCGCCTGGGAAGGGATCTTAAAAGTATGTGGCAGAGAGTTGTTGTCGTAAGCCACCTCATCTGTTCAAAGATGGTCGTTCACAGTGGACATAGATGGCTTTTACTCCTTTCTTTAATCCATCTGTGGGACAACTCCCACTCGGGCTTAAATACAAAGAAGCTTCTCGGATATGAGGTGAAACATCTTCATGAAACGTTTAAAAAGTCCACTCGCTTTCTTTCTAAGCTTCTTAGACTGTCATGACCTGGATAACTGAGAACCTACACAGACATACTCATGATATCGCACTTCTTTTTCTTGCATTGAGGATTCGCAGGGATTAAATGTGCAGTTAAACTACTTTACATTGACAGAAAAGGGATTTTCACCTTTCTGGCCCACTTAAAGACAAAGCTGTATGTGACCCATGATGTAAAGTGAGTTTGATATCCCTGATCCAACCTTAAGCATTTTTTAAATGTTATTCGTGAAAAATTGTCATTCAGAAAGGTTGTTGCTGTATCACAGTGTCACTGTATAACTGACTCTATTCCCCTACAACATGAGTACCACGACCACATGACCGAGAACACTGTGACCCAGAGATCAGGCTGACCCGTCTCCCACTTGCAGTCCTCTAGCTCCACACTCACTCCTACTGTATCTCTATGGCAACTAGGCAACCGGCAAGACTTCTCGGCAGTGGCGAGGAAGCGGATTATGGAGGTTGTAAACTCGGCCCATATTAGGCAGCGGCTTCTGAACCAGTCGGAGGACTCTGAGGATGAGGGGATGAGCGAGGTGGAGGAGGACACCTGGGTGTTCCCGCTGGTGCAGATGAAACCTCTTGGCATCAGAGTGGACGAGCAGGTCACACAGGTGAGCCTCAACACCGCATCTGATCTGTACATCTGTAGTTAAAATGAACTTTTTGCCTTTTACGGTTTCAATTCTTCAGGAATTGAAGCCATTTTTGGTTATCGCGTGGTCTGAAATAAAATAAATAAATGCAGATTTCTGTCATTGTAATTACCTGACTCATTGCTTGTTTCTGTAAACGGTGATTATATTTAGACACCACCCAAAGGGCCATTGTGAGCGTGGATGAACCCTTCACTCATTACATGTTTTGTGCAGATGACTAATAAAATGATACATGACTACTAAACCATAAATCAAGGATAATTATTTGTTTCATAGTCACATATTCTGGGAATAAATATAATAAAATGATTGCTAGCGCAATATACTGTAATTTAGCCATCAATAAATTTAAGTAATAATTAAGTCAGAGCTGAACAATAAGGAAACTCTTATCAGGTTCCTGACATTATGAATCCATTACCAGCAATAAAAATGAATTTCATTCTACGAATAATTAGAGAAATCATTGTCTGTCAGCCCGATACACTTCAGGCGTAATGGGTGTATTGATGGAAAGCTGAGAAAGTGCAGTGTTGAATTTGAGGTTGTTTGGATGAGCGGTTTGCATATTTTCAGTACAAAGTTTTTATGGTAGGTTATAAAATAAAATATGCACTACTGTGCAAAAGTCTCGAGCCACTCCTCATGTCGTGATATCTTTATTGCCAGAAGTATTCACTCATCCATCCAAATCATTGAATTCAGCTGTTCCAGTCACTTTCATGGCCACAGGTGTATGAAGTCAAGCACGTAGGCATGAAGGCTGCTTCTACAAACGTTCATGAAGAGTTGGTCTCTCTCAGGAGCTCAGTGAATTCCAACGTGGCGCTGTGATTTTGTGGGAACAGTTGGATGGCGCCTTCCTGTTCCAACATGACTGCGCACCAGTGCACCAACCAAAGGTCATTAAAGAAATGGATCAGTGAGTTTGTGCAGGCCAGTCAACTTCTTCCACACCAGAGTCCTGAACTCACCCTGGCAGAACACCTTTCAGGGACTGCGAGGCAACGTCAGTGTCAGACCTCTTAAACTCCTAAACTTTGTGGAAAGCCTTCCCTGAAGAATTGACTCTGTTAGTTAACTATTGTATTATTATTGTTTGTAGAATAAACAAGAAAGGAAATGACAAGATAACCAGGTTTTCGTCTCATTAACAGACTGTCTATGTAGTCAGCTGAATAAAATAAAGGAAAATTGGGGTTTTCTTCACTTCCTTTCTCTCGTCATCCCTCCAGCGTCTGCTGACCGATGCCGGACCCGAGTCTACTGTGTTTCTCACATCGGGTTACTTCAATCTGACCCGGGCGTACATGCGGCTGGTGCTCAAGGCTGGAGCCAGTTACCGTATCCTCACCGCCTCCCCCGAGGTCAATGGGTTCTTTGGGGCCAAGGGCATCGCTGGAGCAATCCCTGCAGCGTACACTCACATCGCCAGGCAGTTTTACAAACAGGTGTGCCAGGGGGGCCAGCAGGAGAGGGTACACCTGCATGAGTACCACCGACCAGAGTGGACCTTCCACGCTAAAGGTGAGCGACACTAAACTACATATACTTTATACAGTAATGTGCGAACGTCTTAAGCCAAAGAACCTAATTGGTTCTTTGCCAAATTGTTTGTTCTTGGTTGCCTTTTTATGTTTGAATGATTCATAAGTCAGTATTAAGTGACTTAACTTAATTCCTGGGATAACAAAAGGCTTTCAGGAGCCTGGAGAACTGTTGCTCAAGAGCACTTTAAAAATCCCAAGAAAGTCTGGCTCCTTGGAAGAAACATTTCAAGAAATGAGGGTGGATCGAGATTTGTGGACAGTAATGTAGCTTCCCCCAAATTCAGCTGTTCCCAGGAATCTGTAACTAGATGATCCAGCCATTCACACACACACATCTGCTAATTAGTGCTTGAGTGACGCAATATTAGAATTTCAAATCATTATTATTATTTGTTTTTAGATGGGCTGTACATCAATGCAGGCCCTATTTATCTGTTAAATCCATGAAACCGGATTCATTCCGGTGCTGAAATTGGACAGGAACTGCAGTTGAAGGGTTAGCCTCACTTTTATTAGTCCCGAAAAAGGAGCAAACTTAACATCCTGAAGAGATCCTTCCACTTTTTTTTCATTGTTATAAAAGGACAGATCAAGTGCATCTCAAATGTTTGATTGCATTATGAGAACATGCCAGAGTTTGGACTTCATTCAGCCTGTTTTTCTCCTTTTATTTTCCACTAATATGTCCAAAATAAATGTATTTATCCCTTGACAAATGGAAACAACTGTTCAGTATGATTGCAATTTTTTTTCTTTTCCCCCCTCACATGCAAAAAAATACTCGCGGATCAACATCTGATGAGATTTTGCGAGTTGAGCCAGGACTGGACGTCTAGATGAGCTGTATTTGTCTCAATGAAAATAATAAAACACATTACTCTCGCTGTTCTGCCTCCTCTGCTGTTCTTCTTGTGGTCGCAGCGGTATGTAGCGTGAGAGACGAGGACTTGTACAGTCACTGTGTTGTAGCCTCGGGACGAGGATGCACACTCACTCTCTCTCATATTTTAGGGTTTTGGATCTGCTCTGGGGATTTCTGCATGTGGTTTAGGCCGGCAGAAATCTCTGCTGGAAACGGCTCTCTGAAGCATTACCTCCTCGCTGGCTCACTCCTTTTCTCCTCTCTCACAGGTCTGTGGTATTACCTCCAGGGGCAGGATCGGCCTTGCCTCACTCTAATTGGCTCCCCTAATTTCGGTTACCGCTCGGTTCACCGTGACCTGGAGGCCCAGATTGCCATAGTAACGGAGAATGAGGAGCTGCAGAGCCAGCTGCAGGAGGTCGGCTCTTTATTTTCCACAAACCACAGCCAGACATGATGATGAATGAATGTGTAAGTCTGCGTAACTGAACGAACACCTGCGTTTTAAACTCCCAGGAGCAGGAGATGTTGTACCGGCGCTCCGCTGAAGTGTCCACCTCTACGTTCGAGCGGCCCGACCGCCACGTTAAACTGTGGGTGAAACTGGTCACGCCACTCATCAAGAACTTTTTCTGAGGTGCAGCCACACACGTGCACAACTCACTACACATGAAAACTCATTAAAATTTAGTTTTGAGTTCATTATAAGGATGATTTCACTTTATTGCAGCTTATTTTCATTTTTGTGGGAGACAAAAAAAAAAAGAGTCCAATTTGGCTGTGAGAGAACAGGGTAGAGCAAAATATAAATAATAAAAATTTATTGTGGGTGTTAGTCAATATCAAGGAGAGTACTCATGAAAACACATGTTGCTGTCCTTGAAGCCCTTTGTGGGCCAAAAGAAAGTAAGAAAAGGGGCTATTGTGCTCCACAACACTCTTTTAGGATTGACTATTTTTAGGCCTCTCCAAAAGGTTTTTGTAATATGTCACAAAAATCTGCTGTATTAGAGTCATACGGCTAATTACTTTGGGGTTTCTCACTACTCTCTATAAACTTGTTTGCTGTTTTTTGCTGGTGGAGGCCAAAAATGGAGCTAAAAGAGAGAGAATACTGGACTTAAATTCAGCATTTATAGAGGAAGTTGGCTCCGAAGGAAGGAAGGAAGATGATGTTGAAGACTTGGAAATAAACCTCTGTAAATGTTAGAGCTTCAAGCAGATCACTTGATGCGTGATGCTCCACTTCTGGCCTGCGTGACAAATTAACCCTGTCACAGGTTAATGTCACAGGTTGCTTCCTGATCCCTGACCACAGACCTGTAATGTCAGGCCTGAGACCTCTCACTGAGCCTGCAGAGGAAAGCTGCAGCAGCTGAGATGGGCTCTAATGTAACTTCCTGTTCCTGAACGACTTCAAACGCATTCTTCTTGAAGACTCGCTGGAAAAAAAACCTCCGTATTGCAAACTTTCATTTTGAAAAAAAGAAAGTCCTCAGGCAAAACGAGTTGAGTGTTATCTAAACGGTCATGCTTACACCCTGTCTGGTTGGCTAACTGCTTTTTTTGTTGTTGTTTTGATGAGTTAACAGAGGTTATTAGATCTGTGTGCCTCGTTAACTAGCAGCGCACCTCGGGTTTGACTTCATGCTGTCATCTGCAATAACAACGATTACCAAAGCTCATTTTGAGCCTCATATATTTTTCTGCGCGCAGACTAAAGTCTTACATAATCCATATGGCGTCAGTTATAATACATTTGCACACTGGCAAATGCAAGCATTAAATATGATGATTTTTTTTGGGCGATGCATCTAGTTTCCTAAAACGTTTTTACTTTTTTTGCCCACAGTAATTGTTTGTTTTATGTGACAAACTCAAAGATATTTAGCTCACCGTCTTTTCTAACAGAACAGAGGAGGTGTTTGCATTTGAGGAATGGGGAAGCGGAAAGGATGACTTTGTTTGCCTGGAAAAATGACGGTTAAGTACTAAAATATACCAACTTTTGGAACATATGCAAAAATTCAACATCAGTATCATCAGGTTATTAAAGACAACAGAATATTTCCTCGTAGCTGATTTACTTTCTACACCATCTCCAGTATTTTTATTTAGTTTGTCTGCAAATAAAGAGTAGACAAAATATAGGCCCAAACATTATTTACAGACACACACACACAGAGTAAAACAGGCTGCGGCTTCTTCGAAATGCCTGCAGTCATTGCGGTGAGTCCCAAATCGCAGGTCCCGTCCTCGCCTTCCCAGCAGCCCAAATCACCAAAGTGAGAGCAGGGACAGCGTGTCGGCTGATTCACCGCTGAGTGAGTCATCGTGGTGTTATGGTGATGATTTGATACTGAGGTCTGGGTAACCGTGAATCCTGTCAGGACTTGGCGAGAGGTGAACTCTCTTAAGGTTCAGCAGCTCAAAAAAACCCTGAGTGAACAGGCTGCTTCTGCTTAGCAGAAACATTCAGGGGGACGGTTAAAGTTGTGGTCGCATCATAAACTGAAGATCAGCCAGGAGGGAAGCCTGTCAAGATTGCAGCTAAAGATTGATGGAAAGACAGTCAGCATTTTTTTCTTTTCTCTTTTGGTGGTGGTTTCTGAGAACAGGAAGTGTTGCAGACTGGATACTGACGGTAAATGGGTGGTGTCTTATCACTACCTGAATAGAGTTGTGAAAAAAAAAAATGCTGATTGATGTGCTGCCAGAGGGAAATGGACTAAAATAGGTCATCTTTCATTCTCAAACAATGATGTGTGTAAGAGTGTATTCAGGCCTATTGTTGGAGAAACAGTGGAGAGGGAAAAAATAGAAAAAAAAGTTGTATGTCCTCGAGTTACCGACTCTGTGACGCACGCTCAGGTCTGCGAGACTCATCAATGACTCCAGGCTCAAAGTTGGCCTCAACTCTTACATCATATTTAGATAAGAGAAAAGACTCACTGGTGTCTGTGAGCTAAAAATGCAAACAGCTGTGCGATTTGATCCTAATCTCTGTGAATAAGTCTGAGCCACTTCAAGAAAGAAAAAGCTCTCACACGCACATTAAAACTCACACTTTTTGCAGATTTGACATCTGCTATATGTCAGCTGTTTCAAACATCAGCCTCGAGCTATTCAGGCCTCTTTTCCTGTGAAGGCCCAACACTGTGAATGCCGCCTTGAAGAAACTTCCTTTAAAACAAAATAAACATCTTAAGAATGAGTTCTGATTGAGCGTCAGCAAAAATCTGACATACCTTTTTTTAAGAAGTATTCAAACTGTGAGGCTGGCCGTGCTCTTTACTTTTATTTATCAGTAAAAGTAAGCAATGAATGGATCCTGATATTAGTAGTTTTGTGTTTAGCCTGTGTCCCGTGAATCTCATTCTTCTGTAGTTGCAAAAAAAAGAGAAAAAGTAAAGCACTTAAACCACAAAATTACAGGATTCCTGATTAAAATATACACAGCAGACCCTGAAAGTGAAATAATGGAGTCAAATTTAACGTAGTTGCTTTTTTTTAGGTGTTTAAATTTGAGATTAATCATTTAATCTATACATTTATGCAAGCTGGTACGGGTCAGTGCCATTGCAGTGGTTTCGAAAGGTAGTTGGCAGGCAACGCCATCATTTATATCACAGTTTTCTTTTTCTGGATCTAAATCAGGTTTTATTGTTGTGAAATTGCAACGATTTAATGGTTTTGTAGGGTCATATAGGTTCATAAATGCTAAAAATGGCTCATATAGTATTAGCCATTCGACAGGTGTTGCCTGGCAACGTGATTACACAATAATATTTGATATAGATAAGAACCTTCAGGAGCCTAAGATAGGTAACTGTGCTAAGGCTGTCATCAGAGATTCATGCTTTCTAGTAAGATATTAGTAATAATTATTATTTAAGTGCAGTAATGCTGCATTTAGACCTCAAACAGCCAGTATTAAAAACATTTAAGTATTAAAAACAATAGATGGCATTGCAGAGTGACCATTATGTAAAAATATTAAAATAGAAATGAATAAATGAAAAATCTGTTAAACATAAGAGCCATGAAAATACACCGCCTTGCATGTTTTTAATCCTGTAAATTTTTAAATTAATTTCATTTTTAAAAACTGGGATGTTAAATTAATAGTAAGTAAACAAAATAAAAAAGCTTAAATATCAGTTTGTGTATTGTTTTACATACATCAGATTTTTCTGGAAAAAAACAAAACAAAAACAAATCCCACCGATGATGTTGAGGAAAAAAGTGTGTAACAGGGTTAATAGGTTAACTAACCCTACGTGAAGGGAATAAATATGTGAAATATTCCAGCAGGCCCACCTTCTGTCAAACCTTTGTTTCACAGTTTGAAAGCATAGCTGGGGGGAGCTGGATCTGGAAGTCTGGTAATGTTTGACCTTGTGATCGTGTATCTGTAATTATTACAGAATTAACATGTGACTGAAATAAAAGCAGAAAGCCAGGCGTTTGGAAGACACTCTACACAACCCCACTGCAGTCTTCGTGATAACAAGTGTACAACTTCTTTGTTAGAAATCATCACAGCTACAAATGTTTATTAAACTGCTGCTGAAAATAGTCTCCAACATGTTCACTATTTACTCCTCCAGATTCAGGAGAATCAGGCAAGCTGTTTTCCACACTCTTCCTTTTCTCAACAAGTTGCACGAAGAAGGATCAGATCTGTTCACACAGCTGAAAACACTTAGTTTTCACAGATTAGGCCGCCGACGGGTTAAAGACCGCGTCCTGTCCTTGCGTGCACCTACGACGTGTAGGTCCCTGAGCTCAGGAAGCTCAGGGCGACTCTGCATGTGATGAAAGCTGTGTGCTGTCAGGCATTTGTTGAAAGCTGTTTCACTACCTCATCAGGCCATGATATGCGACTTCAGTCAACAGGAAGGCTGTGATGATTTATTCTATGTTTGCATTTGAGAAATACATTTACGCACGAGTGCTCTATATCATTATTATTAAAGGTGAAGCACGTGCTGAGCATACGGGCTGCTGGCATACGTGAAGCTCCTCTGTCAGAGCCTTTGTTCCTTAATGGGATCACACGGCTCTGTTCCTGAAGCAAAGCAGCCTCAGTGACCCCAGCTACACATTCACCTTCAGGTCCAGGAAACCAGATTCATCATATTTACTTATTTGAAATATAAAAGTGCTGTTTTTTTTTTTTTTAAATGTTTTCTTTAAAAATACATTCTGGGTTTTTTATTTAATTTTTTAAAACTTTTTTCTTTGAATTTCAGGCAGACAATAAATAACCTGTTTAGATCAGTTTGTTCGCGCTCGCTCCTGTTTTGTATCCATCTGGCATTTTGATCTGTGTACTTGTACTGCTTATCGCCTCCTTTTTTTCCTGACAGAGGAAAAAACAAAACGCAGCCCTCCAACAATGGCTGTGCCGGTTAAAAAGTTCTTATCAGCAGCGCAGGCTGTCTATTGTTGGAAATTGGTGACAACAAGCTGGAGCCTCTCCAAACCACATGGGGTTAAAACGCAGCTGATGTCCACACAGCATCACCCACTCTAACCCAGCGTGGCGGATTGAGAAGGTCTCCTCTGCCCTCTAGTGGTGAAACTGAGATTTCCCCAATGCAGTGAACTTGCCCCACCGTGACCTTTTTTATATAAAGTAGTCCCAGACCTTTTTACAGCCAAGACACTACAAGACATTTTCCAAGTTAATTTTATTTAGTTAGAGAAATATGACACAAAAACAACCAGAAATATGAACTTTAAAGCTAAGGAAATGTAAACCATCAAAATCAGTTTGAACCTGAACTTCTGCCAGGTAATCGTCTTAAATTCATGTAATCACACCAACTTAAGATTAAAAAAAACCCAACAACATATAAATGTATAGTGATCAGATTCTATTAAATTTAACATTTGAAATTGCACTGACAAAATTATATGGAAAAGTCTATGGAAGAGTCCAGGAAAGGACACAGCAAAGCTTCCACCCTGAACATATAAAATGTAACGCTGCACAAGGGCTCCAAAGTTTGTGCTTTGTGATGGTAATTAACTGACTCATGTAAGCACTGAGAAGATGCATATGTGAATTAATTTCACCGTAATTATCAGACATAAAAGTAGAAGCAACAGGTCTCTTTGTGCCTTAAAGGAAAAGCAAAAAACATGTTTGTTTTTTTTAAGCAGCTGATGAATGCAAATCAAATATACTAATCTAATTTATTATAACAGTTTATAAATGTGAGGTTATGTAACCAAACCTCATATTCCTGTTACTAAAATGCTGAAAATGGCAAAAGTCTTGTTGTTTTGTTGGAAATGATGTAAATATTAAAACAAAGGTGAGTTTAAGATGGATAAAAGTGGAGGCTCTGCTCTTTCTGCGGATCAGGTTTTTATTTTCATGGAATTAAAACAATGTCATTTTTTTAAAGGTAATATAGGTTCTGAAATGCTAAAAATGGGTCATATTAGCCCTTTGATAGTTGGTTGCCATGCAGCGTGATCACATAATACCATATGATATAGATAAGTAATGTACCTGTGAGCCATTTGGTTGCTCAGTGCTCATGCAGTCAAACAGATATATTAATAATAATAATTATCATTTTAGTACAGTAATGCTGCTGTTGTAGGTCAAAGTGCTTAAACATATAAAACAGTCAATATAAAAAAATGTCTAACAGTAGATCACTGCTAAAGACCAGTCAGCAGTCCCCTGGAAACATGCACTTTGTTTGCATGTGAGTAGTTGCTGGGTGAAATCAAGTGCAGAGGATGCTGCACCAAAAACCTGCTTGTGGTTGCTTTGCATGCTGGCAGGTTGCCCCTAGTTTGCTTTCAAGATGCCAACTTGTTTACAAATCCTCACTACCTGCATGAAAGACAGAAACTGAAAAAAGTGTGTTTCAAACCAGAAACGGAGCATTCAGAGTAAAAGTTTGACGTCCCTGTGATAAAGCATTTCATCGCGGGGATGTCAAACTAATTTTACATCACAGGCCACAAACAGCCCACTCTGAGCTTATGTGGGCTGGACTCCAGTTTCTGTCACTGTGAACAAGTTTAACTACACATTTAATCTCTGAGATATCTTAATATAAGATAAAGAAGCGCAATTTAACCAGTGTGTCTCGGGTTTTCTACACGATAAAGAAATGCTGGTGTAGAAAACTGGGCTTAAACCGTAAGGAATAAATTAACACAGGCTCATTTAGCCTGTGTTAATACTGCTGTTAACATGTATTGATACCAGCTAGCAGGTGTTATTAATGCTCCATATTTTCTAATGTTTTATTCCAGCTTAATAAGAGTCTTTTAGATTTTAGAAAAACCTTCAGGTTGTCTTAAAGGACAGAAATCATTTAGAAAACAAACAAAAATGGTGATAATGAGGAAGACCTCGGCAGTGCTGCCAGACTCTCAGCCTTCACATCATGTCCTTTATGATAACCACAAACCACAACTAAAAATCACTCGGGAATCAGCAGATTGAGCTTTTCTTTTTTTTCCGCAGGTGGCAGACAGTCCATTCTGGACATGAATTGAAGGTGGAGGTCGGCCAGCTCCTGTGGAAGAAGCACACTCTGGATGACCTTCAGCACGCTGGGAGCCGGCGTCCTCTGTGTGTCATAGGAAGTGACTGAAACACATGCGCACACACACAGCACATGTATGTGGCGGACTCGGGAGGTAAATCCTGTTTGTTAAAGCTCTGGATCCACCTTCACACCGTTACACTCTTTATGTATTAACACGTGACGTCATAGCACTGTGGGACTCTGGTTTTGTAGTGTTATTAACTACAAGCATAAAAAAAAAACAAAAAAAACGTACTTCTGTTAACATACGTACACGTCCACAGGTATGTGTTGCATGCATGGAGGAAAAAAGCAGGCACTTCATGTGTGAACGTCTCTGATCAGATGAAGGTTGTTTGGTGACGACACCTCGATGAGCGTTTGACGCTGTGTTTACAGCTCTGCCTGCAGTAAAGTTGACTGTACAGTCTGTGTTATTGTTGTAAATTAAAGAGTGAATGTGTGGGGAGTTTTTAAAGTGTCCTCAAGCGTTTGATTTTTCTGATTGAGCTCGAGTTCAGCGATTCGTGTGGAAAAGCTTTAAACGAGAGATGAAACAAAGCTGACGTGAAAGGTTTCCTGAGGTTTGGTGTCTATTAGCTCTTTGTTTTGGTTTTTCTGCTCGACGACCACTCCTGCTGGTTTTTTACATGTTAGATATAAAAGAAAATGTTTTCTGAAGCTGCTCTGTTTGCTTTTGTTGTGTTCCTTATTCTTTGTGTGTTTTCAGTCTTTTTTTTAATCTTTTGTTTTATTTGTTGAATCCTATTCATCACTTCATTATTAAATTAACAATTCAGCCTCGTTTCATTAGTTGTTTCTTTTTAAATGTAAAGATTTTAAAATTTTAGTCTAAATAACAAAAAACAAAACCAAAGCATCCTTTGTGATTCTAAAAGAAAAACTGAATAGAAAATAGAAATCTATTTGACTTTAAAGTCAAATTATTTTGGGAATGACTGACCTTGACAGACAGCTTCAGTGAGGCCAATGCGGAAATGCATTCTTTCTAATGGCCACCAGGGGCAGACTTCTCTGGTTGCAAAAACAAATATGCTTGTATAAAAGTTTACAAGAAAACCTCAAATTCTCACTTGAATACTTTCCTGATGTGTTTTTGATCTTAGTTTCAAGTCATTATACAACATGAAGCTATTTTTGTAAAATAATCCCAATAAAGTTAAAAAGGTTTAAGCAATAAGCCTCCATCTTTCCTGGTGCCTCCACTAAGATCTGGCTTCAGTTTGGAACCATTTCAGCCTCTTGCAGCTTCAGGTACCTGAACCCTGTGGTGTGTTTTCCACTGCATTCAGATCAATCACTTTCGAGTTTCCTTCCTTTTTATGATGTCCCTTTGTTTTGCTTTGTGATGACAGCTCACACAGTGGACTGTAAAGCTCTGACAGCTGTCATAAAAATTTGTTTGTAACCACTTGGAGCCCTGAAAAAAACCTATCATGAATTTTGGAATTATGTGGGTGTTTGACCACAAATCGGCCATCAAGTATGATTCAAATGTTGACTAATCGTCACTAGTGAACACTGCGTGAGCCACTCTTGCCAGTTGAGAAGAACACAGCGAGATCGACTCGTACTAATATTTTGCGGAGTGCGACACATAAGCCGATGTCTGATTAGTCTGCCTTCTGTCACAGCTCTAACACGTACTACTTCAGCCGTACCTTTCGCTGGAAGGGGAATTTCCCAGGTCTGCTTCAGTGCTCGTGCTTTCATCTCCTTGATATGTGCTGTGGTTTTCCAGAGTAATCAGGTCACATCAACATTAGCAGGATGTGGGGAAACTTTACAGAAGATAACGTAGTTTACTGACAGCTCTGCTAGAATGACTGGCTGCTTCATGAGTTACATTAGATAAAGGTGAGATAAGTGCTTAAATGAATGAGAACAGAGTATTGAAACCTGTGTTCGGTAGCTGGCGGCATGCTTTAGATTGAGGTCAAGTGGGACAGGGAGCACTGGAATTAAACCCATACAAAAGTTCATTAAAAAAAAAAAAAGGTTATACAAGATAAAAGGCCGGCTGTGTTTAGTTTATTGCAGCTGTTTGGCAGGATGAGGTTACAGGTGACTGCAGAGGCCACCATGTCCTGCATTAATGACTGTCTAGGTTGCATCAGGACACGTTAGTGTTTACACTACAGAAGAAATGCGGTCGAACAACCTCAGAAGGTGCTTAGAGAAAACTAATCGGAACCATTCTCACTTCATTTTAAATCAAACTTATTCATTACAAATGAACAATAAAACAACTTCAGTAAAATAATGAACTCAAACAGGAGCAGAAGATTCTTTGCAAACTTTTATTGAGACAAAAACAATAAATTACAAGAAATGTGGATAAATAAATATTTGACTATTTCTGTTTTACCTTCCTTTTCATGGACAGAAGATCAACAGTAGTAACAAAACGGGGCAGGGGGGAAATGTATGGCAACAAACTAAACGCTGCTCAGTCTCGACTGAGTCCTGAGCTGAATCTTCGTCAGCTTCAGAAAAGTCAGAATCTCAGATTCTGCTGCTGTGCAGCTTTCACGAGGAGTCGTTTATTTTATCTCAAACTTTTCCGTCCAGAGGAGTGCACTATGAAGCAGACACATTTCAACACAACTAGTCTGCTACAGCTGTGATTAACTTTACTTATTTCTATTAATAGTATTACTGTTTATTTCCTTTGCCACTTCATCATATGAATTCTTATTTTATGAGGGTCAGGACTGCTGTCCTGCAGCGTGAATGTCTTGGGTTTTCTCCAGGTGTGCACGTTAGGTTAACAGGTGCCTGTAGATGTGACTGTGAGTGTAATTAGAATGGCGATGTGTATTTTTTATATGATGGTGAAGAACAATCACGTTTTCTATTTCTGTTATTCTTATTGGCATAATTTTAATATACTTACCAAGGGTCAATAGGTACTGTATTAACAATACTAAATACTAAAAAATATACTAATACTAAAAAAACAAAAACTCCTTACAATGATTTAGGAGCGATCTGGTGACAGTCCATTTCCAGCTTGATGGTGGACCACACCACAGGACAGAAGTGATAACTTCTTGCTGGTTTCCAGATCAGATTTACGTTTTGGATTTGCAGCTAGGAAAACTGCAGACCAATTAAGATCTGCAGAGACAAGCAGGAGCAATGAAACGTATTGTTGGCATCGTTGATTTGAGCGCCTTGAAGCGACTGTTGTGATTTGCCGCTATGTAAATAAAATTGAATTGAATTTGATTGAAGTCACTGTAAACACACAGCTGTTTTTGAGCAGGTTTTCCTGTACTGCCTTATGTGTTGTTAGTTTGTCACTGGGCTGCTTTTTGCTGTTGATTTTAAACCAAAACTCTGAACAACAACAACAAAACAACTTCAGGCTTGCTACCTCGCTAACTCATTAACCTCGCTTCGTAGTTCACTCCTCTGGAGACGTGAACTGACAACATTTCCCGCGCTCTCTCTGTTTTCAGCAGCTGTAGGGACTTGCTGTACTCAAGCAGACCAAACACTGATTGTGCGAAAAGGCTCAGAGGTCATTCAAATGCTTGTCAACAGTCCTTACAGCAGGTTTCAAGATGAGCGGGAGAGCTAACCGGAGGGCACCGCAGCATCGTTACAGTACTGCAGCAGCAGGACTCTAAAAAGGTGACGTTTCAGCAAACAAAAGAGCGGTCTCTGTCTGAATAACATTAGCTGCAGATGGGAAATAAAGTGTCGGCAGGAGGTCAGACCTGTAAAGAAGGGAGCGCTGGTTCTGAAGGTGTGTCTGTTGAAAAGGGGACAAAAGACAAGCCGCTTTAAGAGGTGAATCCTCCGCCAGGTTCAGGTCTGCAGCGGGAATGTCAGGTCCACCTGAAACAGGCCTGCGGTTGTTTTATCCTCAGCAGCTCTACAGCCCCTTCAGGGAGGAGACTTTCTTCTTCCGAGCAGCTAACATCTCATAGAACGGGTCTTTGCTGATGGCAGCCCTGCAGAGAGAAGGACAGCAGTTCCACTTTTTCTTCATCGTCATCATTAGTTTGACCCTCTGCAGGGAGAGAAAACAAAACTGAAACTCACTTGATGCTTTTGATCCATTCGTCCTTCTCCTCCACAGTTGGGGCGGAGATTCTGTAGAAAGTGTGGTTTCCCTCGACGACGCGGCCGTCTGCCTCCGTCTTGCAGGCCTTGATCACCTGATCTTTGTGGTTGGGGATGAACAGCTCGAAGCAGTTCTGAGAGAGATCATGGTTGAGGCAGGAAGGCGAGTAAACAAGTTACATGTGTGATCGGTTGTTTTCGCTGTACTGAACGTGTTCAATGCTGTAATAAAAACTTTATATAAACTTTATATAAACTGTTGATCCATCAGCAGGTTGAGGGTGGACGGTCACGTGTTCATTGTTCATTTGCTGGAGTTATCGTTGGGTACGTTGTGGTTTTTTTTAAATGCTTTTTCAGGCTTGCACCTGTGTAGTATATGTACTTTTTTTTAAAACCCTATTTTTGGATAAAGTCATCAAATATTTGAAGCCAATGGAAAAAGTGGCTAAATCTCTGGCTCCTCCAGGTACGACTTTAGGCTTCCTCCAAAATTAAAAACTTGACGACCACAAGAGCGACCCCACAGCTTGTGAGCAGATGCACGTATGTTACCATTTTGAAACTCCTACGTGACATCGGTCTTGATTTACTGTGTTCACAAGATTTTTATAGAACTTGGCCTCTGACCTTGAGGTCGAGGTCACTCAGATTGAAGCTCGTCCTAACTTTTTATTAGATGCACGGTATGAATTTCAAAATCCCATGTTGCCTCGTTCTCAAGTTGTCACATTCACAAACTTGGTTGTCCATGCTGAAGATTATAACCTTTAGTTTTTAATTATGCGTCCATAAAAATCCTGGGAGTAACTAAGGAAAACATGCAAAATAAGGACTAGTATCACAAGAAAATCAAAGTCATCATTACTTTGGAGACATGGTTACACGGTTTATTTTTGCTTTGCTTTTTGAAATCCTTTGTAAGCTGCTTTCAGCAGCTCCCTTATTAACAGAGGGTCGCCACAGCGGTTAGCTCTGCATGTTTGATTTGGCAGATTTATGTGGGATGCTGTTCCTGACGCAAACCCAAAGAGATTTGTGTCCCCTCCTGTTTTTGCCATCTTTTTCTGATCTCTGAGACTTTGATCTCTTCAATCACAGGACAAAAACAAAGAGAGCAGCGGTTTACCGGCTTCTTTGAGTCCTCGACTTCTCTGATGCTTAGATTTTCCAGTGGAATAATCCCTCTGGGTTCTTTGTCCTTTTAAACAGCAGAAAGAAAAAAAATAGTTCAGGCTGGCCACAGTTACATCCAGTAATCATTTATTTTCACAGTGAAACAAGAAGTACTCACAGTGGTGTATTCAAAGTAGTAGAGACAGTTATCAGTGAGAATAAACCAGCGCCGCTTCCAGGTCTTCACTCTTCCACCTGAGGATGGATTAAAGGTGAGTTATGACATCGGTAAACTGAATGCTGATGTTGACGGCGACACTCTGAAGCACACTGATGACACAATTCAGCAGGTTAAGTAAAGCCTACTGACTGCAACAGCTGAGGTTAAAACGTGAGTCAGTGGGCAGTTCAAGGAGTCCAGCAGTTAGAGGCAGATGTGAAGCGCTAATACCTTCACATCAGGACATGATAGCGAAAAGCAGCAGGTGAACCGGATGTAAAAACTAATTATCACAGTAAAACTGTGATGGGTAGGTGAATGCACACAGCCAGTGGCAGGAAAGAAATGACGGGGTGGTGGGCAGGGGCAGCTCAGAAAGCAAAGCGGTGCATTAAAGCTGGCGAGTGTGAGGATACATACCTCCTGAAGTCAAAACCATGAAACACAAACAGACAAGAAGAGCGTCAACAGGAGAGTAAAACATTTCACTCAACTTTGATTAATGTTTCAATAAAAAGATCTCTCATCGTCTCGTTAAAGCCGCTGTTACATATCTGGTCCACTAGAGGGACGACCTGTTTGTAGAAACTGAACATACCGAGTTTGAGCAACCACCCTTCTCTGTCGGGGTTGAAGAAGGTGTGTGTGAGGTCATTCCCATCATCCTCTGGGATCTTAAAAGGTTCGTTCTTGATGCTGTCGTACAGGTTCTGCATAGATGGTGACATCATTTAGATCATGCGGGTAGCTACTATTTATCCTTACCT